ATTGACTTGCCTTTTGCTATATATGTGCATTGTGCGCATCTTCACTGAAGGTAGGTGAAAATAACTGCCAATGTTTCCTACAAGTAATTTCTACGGCCAAAAGTCGTTGATTCCAACGTTGCTTATCGCTAATTAATCACTAGTGCTTTGCTAATTATCAAAAATAGTTAAACTCTTATCTACTTATATACACATTTTCTTCTTTGCACTCAATACTAACCTAAGTTTGTCAATATTGCATTGTTTGCTTTTTTGACCCCCTTTGATGGTTAAATGTGAATTCCACGACCTTATTCAAGATATTCTTGTTTATTACTGTTCTATGATCCAAACGCGCATCATAAAATATCAATAATATTTGCGTAGAAAGTGATCAAATTATCAAAACCCTAGTCCCTACGTAGTAATGTATGACGTAATAAAATCCCACAAAAGAAAGCTGATCCGTTATATTAGGCCCCGTTCATTTCGCTTATTCGAGTTTAGAATTCGAGTTTTTTTACAATAAAAAGTTCTCACAAACAATCACATCTAATTTTTTTACTACAGTAAAAAGCTCTCATATAAAATCACATCTCAACTTGAATTCTAAACTCGAATCAGCAAAGTAAACGAGGCCTTAGTGTGTGTATATATATGTCTATATATATATATATTTAATTAGTTGTATTTTTTTTTTTTTTTGCTAGAATTAGCTAGTTGTAATTTGTAAACCATGAACTATTTCCAGATTTCTCCCAATACGATAATTTTATCAAAACAGAGAGAAGGAAAGTACATGTGATGCCAAAACCGTGAAACAGGAACTTTGGAATACGACGAACGGGACCTCCTTTGGACATATTGTCCATATCTGGAAACAACTTGATGAAAGTTTGATTTATTCATTTCCTTTAAAAAAAAAAAAAAAAGATATATGATAAAATGGGTCCAAAAATACCTGACCCCATCATACGTTAAAGTGCTAAAGAAAAAATAAAAAAATAAAAAAATAAAAAAATAAAAAAAAAGGAAAAAGAAAATATCTTAATGAAGCTTAAGGAGTAAGCTTCTTGTTGCGTGGCTTCTTGGAGAAGCTCAACCACGTCGGCTGTGTACAGGAGAAATACACGGGCGAGAGGATCGCGGTTTTCCTTTTTTTCTTTTTTTTCTTTTTTTTTTCTTTTTTTTCACCTATCCTCTGTACTCGTGTCCTTTTTCTTAAACTTTGCAATTGCCACCCTGTCGCCAATAGAGCGACTTCAATTTTAGAACGCTATTTATTATTGTAGATGAGAATCCTATGACACTATTTTGAATCTTTATTTGGTGCACTAGTTCGGATTTTATTGATTTATTAAATTTTTTTATTTAAATAAAAAAATTAAATGTGAGTGGTTTAAATTATAGTTTAAATTAACGTTTAGATGTGCAGTTAAAAATTAAATCTAAACAGAGAATAAAATTAGAATTTGTGTTTGGTAGGCGTGTAAAGTAAGCAAAGTGGTTTTCTCAAACATGATTTGAACGGTTGAACTCAAAGGGTGAACTAAGGCCTCGTTCATTTCACCGATTTAAATTTTCAATTCCAATTTTACTATAGTTAAAAGCTATCATAAAAAGTCACATCTAATTTTTTATTACAGTTAAAAACTCTCATATAAAGTCACATCTCAGCTCGAATTGAAAATTCAAATCGGCGAACTGAACAATGCCTAAACTCTTATAAGTTGGACAGATTAACTAAGTTTAAACATAAAATATAATTCGGATTGCGTGTTTACTAAATACGAGTTCAAATTATGCACACATTTCAAACTGAGTTGAACTAAATTAAACCAATAGAATAAACAAATGCCAAATTTTTATTATTATTAATTTTGTATACCTGTAATATTATTTTGATGGAATGTATACTTCTTATTTTACGATTAGGTTTTTTTTAAGGGAGAATATATTGCAAGATATAAAAAGGCATTCCAAATAGTATTTCACTCCAAAATCCTTCTGCAAGAAGAAATACACGACAAAAAGATGAACGAAACACTCAAAGAGAAATAATGTGTATTGGGACTCACAAAAAGATGCACCAAAAATCGATCACACACATGGTTCTTCAACCTCTATAGACGATGGATATACTTAGAATCCGTTTAGTTGGAGGATTCGTTATCTGATTCGAATCATGGTTCATGGTTCGCTACAGTATTTTCTCTCACAAAAAACACACGTAAATAAAAAATGGTTATAATCTCATAGTTTTAATCCATGAACCAAACGGTTAATCAACTATCGTTGAAAAACGCATAGTACTAAGCCTACACCGAAAATCACCGAAAAAAAACATCGTTACAGGAAAAATAAGAAAATCCACAACTAGAACATCAAAACACCAAGAAGAGTGAGATCGACCACTCAACACTGGTAGAAGAAAACAACATAAAAGATGATCGATTGACATACATACACTACTACCGTCTATAACTAATATGTGTACCACCAGATACATGGCTACCCCTACACATCAAAACCTCCACATTAAGGGCAGCTTAAGGTGATGGCTGTAACGACCCGCATCACTTACACCCCACCTTTTGGGGGCCAGACGTCCAAATTGACCACAACGAACCAATTAGTATAATATTGTCTATTTTGGGCCTAAGTCCCCTACGATTTTACTTTCAGACTTTACTTCAAAAGGTTTTATACTATTGAGGGATGGTATCCTTTTTTATAAACCATCGTCTATAACAATTCTCAAGTTATGTGGGACTGAACAACTTACCATGTCTTGATCCTTTCACCTCACAGGATTGATGACAGCCACATGGCCTACTCACCGCGAAAACACCTCACTACCGATAGTGACTAACCTAATCTTCAGCTCTAATCCGACAACCCTCCTTCTCGCTAGTGGCATGAACCCCAATTCCGAACTCAACATCCGATGACAACCATGTAGATGAATAAGCATCTTATTAAGCATTGTATGAATTCTTCCAGCTTAAGATAAAAATCATGACATGTAAATGACTATAACGTACCATTTCAAAAAAAAAAAAAAAAATACTATAACGTAGGTGCCATTCATTTATTTGGTTCATTGCTTTTTATCACATCTATAATTAAACAGTTTATTTTCAACTTTTTGGCCATCTGGCACTAATAGTGTTGGCAAACGATAATCCACTTTGAAAAGGATTAAACATTGAATACAATGTACGTACTTAACTAGTTGCTAGGTAGGACACGTAACTTTAATTTACACATGTTAGGAAATGCAATTGATTTATACAATATTAATTAACTTCTATCATGTGTATTTTATTAAGGTAATAATTCATGTCACGTGTTGTGTTTTAGTCTTTTTTTTCTTAAATTTACAGTCAACATGATTACGACCCGTGACACAAAACTTTTAAAAAACTACAACACGAACACGACACGACCACTTTACGGGTTGACACGACACGAAAATTACCCATGACACGATATTGACCTGTGAACGCGAAATTGACACGAAAATTATATATTTTTCTTTAGTTTTTTACATATTAGAAATAACTTAAAATTCATAACACGTTAAAATACAATAACATCCATCAAAATTAAACAAATAATAGTATAAAATTTTTAGTATAACTATCATGATATCACAAGTTAATAAAATCTAAAATATGTAATGAAATATATATATATATATTAGTTTTTACGAGTTTCGTGTCATATTCGGGTTAGGCGGGTCCAACTCAAAATTGACATGTATTTTTTTTGTCAATTTAAGGTCGACCCAATTATGACTCGAACATCTTTTTTCTTAACTTTAACCGGTGAAATTCGTATTATCGTGTCGTGACCTATATTGCCGGTTCTAGTATTTTATGATCTTTCTTAAAAGATGTTCACAGTAGTGAAAACTTGTTCCTAATAAAGCGTGTTTTTCTGAACATATCCTCATGACATCTAGTCCTAATGTGAAGAATATTGGTCATAAAAAATTAACTACATCAACACCAAGAATCGCCAAGGCCAAAGTATCATCAATCCAATTAGGTCGTTGGTATTATTTTTTAAAGATTACTTAGCAATATCTAGAAAGTTTGATCAGGTTTGAAACTATGAATTGAAACGAAGAAAATGATGAGTCTCACAAAGATCAATTACGCGGGGCATTTTGTGAGAACTCCCAAACAACCTCTGGCTTTCTTTTTATAAAATTAATGCGTCAATTAATTTTGACAAAGTATAGAGAGAGAGAGAGAGAGAGAGAGAGAATAATGAGAGAAAGAGACCGTAACGAATGGCGACTCCTTGCTTCACATTAGAAGTCTGCTTGAAGAAACGGATTAATATGGGAATGCAAATAAGTTTGGTATGTATATATGTACCTATAATATACTATATTAATATGTACGTATACGTCATATAGTTCTAGTATATATATATATATATATATATATATTAGTTATATTCTTGGTTTGTACATTGTAGGTATATGTCTCTATGAATATTCGAATAGCTTTAAGGACACTCAAGGTTGACACTGCAGCTAAAGCCCCAACCCAACCAAAGCTCGTATCCTTTTCTAAAGAGGTGAAACGTCCCTAAAGAATCACCAGGTTGCCTTCTATCCACGCTCTTAAACTACTCTTTTTTTTACCGTAATAGCCAGATTTTTATTTTATTTTTTTTGCCTTAATGGCTATACATATTAACTTCTTGGATAAGTTTTTTTAATTTAAATCTTAAATGACTTTATATATATATATATATGTAGATATAAGTATGTTTGACACCTTGTTGGAGAAGGAGAAAACCACACGAGAAAAATATTAATAAAAAAAACTAAAAATACATCCGAAGACTGCATTATTTTATTATAATACAAGCGTACATAGACAAGCATAACCAAAACTTGACGTCCAAGCAACCTTTTCTATTTCTGGAAATTTTATTTATTCTTCTTCTTCTTTTGTAGCTTCTATAGCTAACCTTTTTCCTCTCTCTCTCTCTCTCTCTCTCTCTCTCTCTCTCTCTAGGAAACAGTTTAGTATCGCAGAGCTTCCTATAGAGAACTCTCACGCCTCAAAGAGCTCTCTCTCTCTAGGAAACAGTTTAGTATCGCAGAGCTTGCTATAGAGAACTCTCACGCCTCAAAGAGAATAGTCGGACTTGGAAAAAAAAAAAAAAAAAAAAGAGTGAAAGAATAAAATTCTTTCCTATCTCTGACATCAACCAAGAAGAATTAAATGGAAGAAGATCAGCAATAGAGAGAAGTCGTCGTGGAAAACGTGCTATAAAAGTGACTAGATTCCTTTACGTTTTTGCTTTCTTCTTTTTCTTTCATTTTTTTTTTTTCCTTCTTTTAATCCTTGGGGTTATCCAATTATAGTGTTTCCGTGGATATAATTTCTGAAGAGTTCGGTTTTGTTGTATAATATACTGGAGGAAATTATAGGAGATCAAAAAACAATATTGGAGCTTTGGGATGAAACTCAAAGCAAAAATATTGAAAATTATAAAGATATTATTACAAGATCAACAGAAGAAATGACTGCATGGTGCAATGAGTCGGATGAGGAGAGGGCAATTAATCAGTTAATTTCTCCCAACGATGCCACAGTTTCTAGATCTCTTAGCATAAATACCACCACCAAAACTATTACTTCTACCACTACTTGTGCTGACGAATTAAGGACCATAACCTGCCCTTCTTGCGGTCACCATATACAGTTCCAAGACCAGGTAATTATCTTTTTTTTTTCCTTGTCCTTTTGTTGTTCCTTGATTAATCTTCACTTAGTTTTTAATTTGGTTATTTATTTTCGGGATTTTTTTAAAGTTCAAGACCAGGTAATTAATTATCTTATTTTTTTCAAACCCTTTAATTTTCTTTTCCTCTTTTTGGTTATTTATTTTAGTATTTTTTTTTTTGTTATAATGATAATTATGTGAAAAAATTAACAGCCGGGGATTCATGATTTGCCGGGGTTACCAGCTGGGGTGAAGTTTGATCCAACTGACCAAGAAATTCTTGAACATTTGGAGGCCAAAATACTCTCTGATTCGCGTAAGCTTCATCCTCTAATAGATGAATTTATACAAACGCTTGAGGGAGAGAATGGAATTTGCTACACTCATCCAGAAAAACTACCAGGTCAGTTCTTTTGTTTAATTATTTTGTAACTAGTAGGTTTAATTTGTTAAATAACCTCCTTAATTATGTGTCTAACTTTGGGGTAATTATAAAAGTCGTACACGGGACGACTATTTTGATTATATTTGTTCATTCGGCAAAAGAAACTTTCTTTTTTTTTTTTTTTTTACTTTTTTCTTTTGAGATTTCCTAGAAACTATTTTGAGTCTCAAAATAGAGAGATTTTTTATAATCAGGAAATGACAAATTAAAAAGGTGCGTCATTTTATATCGACTGCAAGAAGAAGTATATACACTATTGTTGCTTCTTTGATTTGCTTGATTTTCTTTCCTAGATATTCTCGGAAAAGTAATACACTCAAATTATATTTAAGTGATCAAAATTCCCTGTTTTTCATTTTTGTTTCTTGAAAAAAAAAATGCCCTTAAGAATTTGGTTATAATTTTTAAAGATCCTTACAATTTATAAATGGACTTAATTACGTCTCCCATAGTCGATGTCAAATTGAAAGAATATAAAACCCAATTCATCAATATTATATATGCGTGTAATATTGCCTGATAAGTATTACCTCAAACTGATGATAGATATATACTAATAAGGAAAACATCTTGATCGTTTTAGCCTTAACGTTCTTAAAACCTCCTAGAGTTGCTTTCAAAGTTCAATGGCTTTACATCAAAATATTTACTTCCCATTAATGGACCGGCTCATAATTTTGAAAGCGAATTTGAATTTCACGAAACACGTTAGTCTTAAATCAACTGATCACTTGATCTTGATCAAAAGTTCCAAAACAAAAATATATCACCTCTATACTCCTTTGGTTTAACTTGGAAAAGTTACATACATACGTATATGCGTGCATGCAAATATAAATTCCAAGAAAAGAATAACAGTAATTCTTGATAGATAAAAAAATATAATTGAGTTATTGGATTAACAGGCAATATTTAGGAGTCAATCTAGCTAGTTGGGATGTTCCACGAATAATCTTTCAAAAAGAAAGAAAGAAAAAAAAAAAAACCTCTCTTCTCATTAGTTAGTTAGTTAGTATCATTCTCTTTGTTTGACCAACTTAATCTTCCAAATTTACTGCTAGTAGTAGCCTCTCAACATATACATAAACATTCTCTCCATTCCACAAGTTAAAGCATGTTTTTCCAATATATATAATATAAAAACATGAGTACTTCCTTTAATTACTTCTTGTTGAAACTTTTCTGACCGCACAGGAGTAAGCAAAGACGGGCAAATCCGGCACTTCTTCCATAGACCTTCAAAGGCCTACACTACCGGCACAAGGAAACGCAGAAAGGTTAACACCGACGAAGACGGGAGCGAAACTCGATGGCACAAAACGGGGAAAACAAGGCCGGTTTTCGTCAACGGCGGAGTGAAAGGATTCAAGAAAATCTTAGTCCTGTACACCAACTACGGCAGGCAAAGGAAGCCGGAGAAAACCAACTGGGTCATGCACCAATACCATCTGGGTAATAACGAGGAAGAAAAAGATGGAGAACTTGTGGTCTCAAAGGTTTTCTACCAAACACAGCCTAGACAATGTGGTTCTAGCACTATCAAAGACCATGTTGTTTCATTTGACACAAATATAAACATAAGGAGTGGACTTATTCATGATCACCATAACATTACTAGCCCTCTAGCAAAGAAAGCTGCTCTTCATCACCATCATCATCATCATGTGGAGTATAATTATAACCCTAATTCATTCATTGATTATCATGATCATCATCATCATCATCATCATCATGAGGAGGGGTCCCACAATAATGGAGAAAGCCCACCACAGCTGATCCCTAATTTGGTTGTCCAAGGTGACGGGTCGTCGTTTATTCATCGATTAACCGCTGAGGCAAGCAAAGGAAAGCTTGAGAGGAAAATGTAGTGACGCAAGAGCTTTTGGTAGGGTAAACAATGACAATGACTGTTGTATAGTTGTTGTTGTTGTTGTTGTTGTTTTTTAAGTTGCTACGTAACACTCAAATAAGTTATTGGAGGAAAAGAAGAAAGGTTTACTCCGAATAAAGATGAATTAATGGCTTCCAAGTGATTAGGTCGTAGAAGATTTGGCTACGAATATTATATTATTGAGGGTATGTTCTAATTGGATTTTGTGAGCAAGTTATGGGCAAATATTAATATACGAGTGTACAGGTAAGTGTTTTCTTTGTTCTTACAAACTTTTATCACATGTTTAGTCTTAAATAGGTTTTAGATATTCATCCTTATGTTTATTTGTACTTAATAATTTGTTCTTTTGAGACATTTTTGACTTAATAAAAGTGATGTTATTCCGAGAGAGTTTATACGTTCTCGTTTGAAGAGGATTATTCGTGGATTTTTGTTTTCCTTTTTCTTTTTTTTTTGGGGTACAAGGATTATACTTGTGCACTTTGCAATATTTGTATAGTAGCTAGATATAAGGAGTACTTTTGTTTGTAGATACCACGTTTTAGATATTTGTGGATTCAATCTTTCTCTCTAAAAAACTCTTATGGCTTTATCATTTTACAATTCGAACTACAACTCAATGTGTTTTTTTTTTTTACAAAAATTTAAATTTAATATTTTTATTACAGTATTTTTTTTTCATATAAATTCACGTAGCATACTTAGCTAGTTGAAAATATGAAACCACGTATTAAATATGCACTAATCCAGCTTTTTGCTCTATTGTATAAATATTCCCAATATCTTAATTTACTCGCTGTCTTTTGGCAATTTACATTTACTCGTTGCAGACTTCTCGTTCATTTTTACTATGTACTTCGCGGCCATTGTCGTCTTCTTTTGTGAACTCAAAATAGTTGTATCACAAAAACGAAAAACTTTAAAACTTCTTGTGCAAGCAAATTAAATGAATTTCTTGCATAAGAAGCAAAAGTCTATTCCTCGTCAAACGTATCCTAGTGATTAGACAATAAATAATTAATGAATGTATCTACCATGTCTAGGGAACCCTTACAAAAAATTAAAACTAAAATTAAAAGGGACTTTTTTGGGTAGGGTCTTTCTACTGGTAAGGTCAGTATATAACCATAAAATTTGGTCCAAAACACATTAAATTGAAAAAATATACAAAATAGACAGCTCATGATACAAATTTGACAACTGAAAGTAATGAACTATCAGTAGTTATTTTTTCTAATCCTACCAGAAAAATTGACAAATTGGATCTAAAAACGTATGCCTAGAGAACCTCCTTCCACGACACAAAGATGTTTTTTTTTTTTTTCTTTTTAATTCGTAGTAGCTACAAGAGACTAGATTACATTCTTTTAAGATTTTTTACAGTAAGATTTTAAAAAATAAACTATTAGTAAGTTTTTGTTTTAGAAAGACCTTTATCAAAAAAAAAAACAAAAAAAACCTTGGGAAGATAAGTCTTCAATCCCATGTTGCGTTCGGAAGGTCGGTGTTGAGTTGACTCTGGGGATGTCTTGACTTTGGCCTCGTTCATTTCACTGATTCGAGTTTTCAATTTTAGGTTTTTACAGTAAAAAACTCTCAGAAAATGTCACATCTAACTTTTTCTACTACAGTGAAAAGTTCTCAGAAAATGTCACATCTCAGCTCAAATTAAAAATTCGAATCCGCGAAGTAAACGAAGCCTTTATAAATACAATGCCGAAATCTGTTGAATATTTGTGTATGTAATTAGCCGGTTCAATTACGAAGGGCCCATTTAGTTGCTGATTCGAATTGAGATGTGATTTTATGTGAGAGCTTTTTACTGTAGCAAAAAAGTTAGATGTGACTGTTTCTGAGAGCTTTTTACTGTAACAAAACTCGAATCGGTGAAATGAACGGGGTCGAAGTCTCCTTAAATTATGTTAATTGTGTTAACATGCATGGAACTTTAAAATACATATATTGCGGCCTTGATTTATAATACTTTTCCATATTTACCCCTGAACTTTAAAACTTGTTATTTTTATCTATACTAGCACATTCGACACATGCAAGCAAGTTAAATTTATTTATTTCTTTAAACCCTTAACTAATCCAGGATCCGTTCTCTACTTTTCCCTTCAGTCGCATCGCTTTTCAGGAACTACTATAAGGGGTAAATATATCTAAAGATTTTTAGTCTAACTAATTTATTTAGAGTGAAAATGTTGCACCTAAGCTTAAAATACGTAACAAGTCTGCACTTCCGTCTAAAAAAATAGCACGTTTCAAAGCTGAGGGGATAAATCCGAAGAAGTATTATACATCATAGGCGTAGCATGTACATTTTTAAAGTTTAAGAGACATATTAGCACAAGTGATCACATAGTTGAGGGGAAATTTATAAAATCTGTCCACTAATTTAATTATCTCTCCTAAAACATATAATTGGTTTTTTATTATTATCATTATTATAATTATTATATATTACTATTATTATTATTATTATTATTATTATTATTATTATTATTATTATTTTGTTCTCCATACACATAGCCAGATATAAGTAAGAATTAGTGATCATATCCCAAAAATCTTAAAAGGAACTCAATTTGATCAAACCATGAAATGCTCTAACATTAATTCACGGGAGAAAAAAGGAAATAGACCAAAATTTAAGATGAATTAAAATTAATAAGTCAATAGTTTACATAAGTTAATAAATAGGTAAAATTACTGTTTTCGTCCATAACTTGTCTGGTTATGAACCATAACTTGACAAGTTATTGTCCATAATTGTCCATAACTTGTCTGACTATGAACTATAACTTGACAAGTTTGTCCATAACTTATCTGATTATGAACCATAACTTAACAAATTATAGCCTATTAATTTTTATAACTAAAAATTGGCCTATATACTTTTTTAAACTTTTCATTTTGACATATTTTCTACTATTTCCCTTAATTCATTAACTTCGTAGTTACTTGACGTACATGAAGCAATATTATTCTAGAAAATCTGAACAGTGGAATATCGGCCAGATACATCGGATTTTCAACAAAGACGTGCAGCTCATGCAACCAATAAGAAAGTAGAGAGCTTGTCGACCAAGAAAGAATCATCGGATTTTCAAAACAAAACAAAACAAAACAAAACAAAAAAAAAAAAACAGAAGTCGGTTGTTGCTTATTTAATTCTGTGAGCCTTCTAGGAAGCTCTTAACTTTGTTTAGTTCCAGTCAGCCGTCGCTCTAAACTGCTTTGAAGTTCCAGGAAAACAAAATATTATTTCTCAGTTATATTTTGATCTTTAATAAAGCAAAAACTTTGTCTTAGAAAACAAAACTAAATGCAAACAATAACAAAACAAATATAAAAATAGAGCTGCAAATAAGTAAAAATTATGATTTTCTCATTAAGACGTTACGAATAATGAAGAAAACAAAACAAATATAAGAATAAAACAGTAAAAAAAAAAAGTCTAAGGTTTTTCAGATATATTAATTTATTAATTCTTTATACTTTTTCTTTCCTAAACAATCAAAGAATTTATGCGACATACTACACGGTGACTTCGCCCTGAAGCTTTGCAACTCCAATTATTGGTTTGGATAAATTATTTCTCTTTCGACTATTATTTTGTTTTTTCGTTTTTCTTTGGGTAATTATTGGACAAGTAGTTGAATTGTTGTTTGGTTGAAATTGGATGGAACATGAACGGACCAAGGAGGAGAAACAACAAGAGAGATAGATATCGCTTTCGCTTCATGACCAATGAGACTCAAGACTTTTTTTTTTTTTTTTTTTTTTTTTTTGCTGGTAAACAAAAAAAGTTTAGTTATAAACTATTACTTCTAACTTATTCTATGTTTCTACAATAATAGCTGGAGATTTATTTTTTGCTATGGAGCCACTTTATTGGATGTCATTTTCTAATCCAGTCTGTGAGGGGAAAGAGGGAGTCATATAATGCACACTTGTCAAATATTAAGGCATCGTTCACTTTGCGGATTCGAGTTTTCAATTCGAATTGAGATGTGACATTTTTTAAAAAAATTTTACTGTAGCAGAAAAAGTTAGATGCGACATTTTCTGAGAGCTTTTTACTGTAGAAACCTAAAACTGAAAACTCGAATCGGTGAAATGAACAAGAACCAGTTGAGTTCTCTAATTCGAGTTTTTAATTTGAGTTGAGATGTGATTTTATATAAGAGCTTTTTACTGTAGTAAAAAAAATTAAATATGACTATTTCTGAAAACTTTTTACTATAACAAAACTCAAATTAGTAAAATAAACGGAACTTAATAATACTTCAATAGTAGTAATAATAATAGTTACAATAACAATGATAATAGGTAAGAAATTATGATAAAAAAATGGACGGCGGATGAGACGACGTCTGTCTGCATCTTTCTTGCAGAGTGGGCAATAGCAGGAGTTCAATTCAAACCTCCTGAACTTTAGCGATGTCGTTTTCAGTCATTTCCCAATCAAATGGCCCAGCGGCAACAGTTAATATCAAAAAAGAATCCCTTTCTTCTCACCCCCATTGACTCTTGACTTGAGGGCACAACGAAACAATATTAACAGACGTTCTCCGATAAAGTCTCTTACCGGTAGGTCAGTTTATGACTTCTAATTAAAATTATTTATGCAGTGCAAAGAGTTTTTAATACAAATTTAACAGTTAAAATTAAAAAAAAATAGTAAGAAATAGGTCAATATAAAAAGCTTAAGAAAATATATGAAAAGCTTAAGAAAATATATAGGCCAACTTTTAATTATAGAAATTAATAGGCCATAACTTATCAAGTTATAGTTCATAACCAGATAAATTATGGACAAACTTGTTAAGTTGTGATTCATAACCAGACAAGTTATGGATAAAAACCGAGAATAACTTGTCAAGTTATGGTTCATAACCAGACAAGTTATAGACGAAAACAGTAATTTAACCTATTTATTAACTTATGTAAATTATTGGTCTATTAATTTTAATTCATTTCAAGTCTTTGACCTATTTTCTTCTTTCTCCCAAAATTAAAGACCAATAGTTAATTTTTCTGATCCTACTTTGAGAAACTCCCAAACAGAGACTTTAAATAAAATAAAAATTCACGCAATTTGCAGAAGTAATTAATCCTTCAATTTCTTCCTCTTTCGGACCCACAAAAGCAAGGATTTGGTAACAAAAGTGGGTCGACATTAAACTGCTACATATAACGTAAGCAGCATAAACAAACACAACGGATGCAAAAATAAAGCACAATCAAATCAAATGAAAAATAATGAAAACCCTCGGTCCAAATTTTTGATTCGCATACAATACTCAATTGTTTCCTCACAACCCTCTAGGTCCTAACCATCAAATGATTCGCATTGTTGGAAGAGAAAGAACATCTCAGAAACTTTACACACGAAGACCCATAAAACCACTAGAAGAAAAGAAACTACATTACAAGCAAAAGGACTGCTTAATGCTACCTATAAAGATCTAAAGTCAGTAGTAACAAGCAGTAGTTCTTCTCAACCCTTTGCTAGTTAAACCAAGATAACTTAAAAAACGGAAAAACACAAACAAAAAGCTGAAAGTTTTTGCACAACTGAAAATGGTACTTCTCATAATGAACACTTTAAACTAAGCCATTTACGTCCTAAGTTGGTCTACCATGTTGACTCCCAGAAAATTACACCGGTGTAACTGCCGCCTTAGAGGTCATGACTTCTGGAGGATACATTTCTCATACAGAGCAAGAATCTCCTTTTTGTTGGGATTTCTCAACTGAAGTAGCTCAGCTCCAAAGTTATGTTTAGTGAGTTCTTGCTTAAGTTTCTGGATGGTGAACTTTGTGTAATCCTCCTGGTTGGTTTGCTGACTATGGTTGTTATCCTCGTCTCCCCTGAATATCGAGCCTCCATCCTCTGGCTGCAACTTTAGAGGGCTTGTCGTGCTTCTGGACCGCTTATTTACTCTTGCAACTCTGTCACTTGTGTCCATGTCTTGAACAGATTCAAAACCCATCTCATAGTCGTCCACCGCCCTTACACGCTTCCCATGTGAAGTAGTCTTGAGCTTACTATCCAAAGCTGTTTCATTTAGGCGAACAGAAGTCAATTCTTGCTGTAGCAAATCAAGTTTTGCCTGCGCAGCTTGTAGCTGAAGTGAGAGGGCTTCTGCCCTGCTGTTTGCGTCTGCATGTGCAGCCCGTTCGCTGTCCAGAAGATTTTGAAGGGCTTGAACTGTACTAGCCCTCTGTTCATTATTAGATTTCAACAGTGACTCTATTTCTCTCTCCCTTTCTTCAACTCTTCCTTCCAGTAAAGCAATTTTTGAATGAGCTTCCATCTCAGATACACGAATTCTTTCTAATGCATCTGCCAAGTCGATTTTCTCTCTTTGTAAACTCTCTATATGCCTTTCAGACCTCTCAATTTGTGCCAATCTTTCCATTGCCAACCTCTGCATCTCACTCTTCTCCTTCTGAGCGGCATCTGATTGAGCTCGTGCTTTATCAGCAATATCTGTTGCCCTGGCAGCTTCTCTTTCAGCAATTTTACACCTCTCCTGGACTTCCTCAAACCTCTTGCTCTCAGATAAATATTTTTGCTCCAAATGGATCTTCTCCTGCTCCAACATCTTTTTCTCTCTCTCAAATGAGTGGGACCTAGCATTGGCAATTTCTAGTTTTTCACTTAGCTGTTTGATTTCCAGCTTCATTGATGATGTTTCAGCATCATAACTATCTACCTTTGATTTGGCAGCCTGCAAATAGTTAGTGATAATAAAAGTTAAGCAGAAAGATCGAGCAGGAATTAGGAATGGGTTAGACTTACAAGATAACGTACATGCTATCGTATTTCTGTAAGCGTGTAAACAAAACAACTCACCTTCAACTCTAATTTTAGCGTAGTCAAGCACTGCTCAGCATATTCAATCTTTGCTGCCTTATCCTTTATTTCTTCTTCCTGCATGTCCATTAATAAGGAAACCACTTATAGCCTGCTCTTTTATTTTCAGATGACATTTTGATGAATGTAAGTATATAAAACCATGCGCAATAACTCATAGCGCAATATCTGCATGTGTACAATTGTTTGTGTCTATCAGTGATTGCAGAAAGAAAAAGGATAAGAGAGTAACCTTCTCAGCCAAACTGCTTGCAAATTCTTCCCTAAGAGCATCTTCTCTCTTTTGTGTTTCTTTACTTGTGCGTTCTTGAACAGTTGCAGCCTTCTCTAATGCAGCTTTTGCTTCTCTGAAAGCAATGTCAAACTTCCGTTTCCACTCCTCTGCCTCCTCTTGAGCAGACTGAACTTGTTCTCGAGCAGCAGCCAGCCTCGCTTCAGCTGCACTGCTGCGGGACTTGAGAACTGCAATTTCAGAACTTGCTTGATCTTCCTCAGCTTTCTGCTTTGACAAGACCTGTTCATATTTTCTTTTCCATTCGAGAGACTCTTGCTTGGAGGAATCCAACGACTTTAATAACCTAGAACACCTCTCACCCAATGAACTGCAATTACTCTGTAAGTTTGTTATGCGGCTCATGTATTCATCAGCTAGCTTTTTCTTGTCACTGAATGCATCCTCATAACGTTTCAAATATTCCGACTTGGACTTCTCACTAGCTTCAAGCTGCTTGTTAAGTAATCCCAACTTATCTTCAATTGATCGGCATTTCAAGAGCAATGCATTCTTCTCTGATCCAACTTGATCAATTAATCTCTTGGTGAGGTCAAGTATGGGACCTTCCAAACTGGGGTTTCATCAAATTGAAAAGATTTTTAGAGACAAACCTATATACATACTATACACACAATAAGGGTCGTAGAAAGAGGCAAACCTCTTCTGTAAGAACATGACCAGTTTCTGAGATTTTCCCGGACCATGACATGATGCTTCATAATCAGATATGAGACCATCCAAGACCTGCAAAACAAATCACGAGTCTCAAGTCACCGCTTAAGAAACATTTGGCATATCATGTGAATACAAAGGCCAATCAACAAATAAAGATGAAAAATAGCCATATATGTAGGAGATCGATCAATGCATTTGCAGCTTTTGCATTCTCTTTTTGGGGCTACATTATCTCTGACTATGAGCAGTGATTTGTACTAAAGAAATGTTCATTATAAGCAAATTTGGGCAGGCTATCCAAAATAAGGCTAGTGCCTATAGACTAAATATTGCGATGTATCCATGTATCTAACAAAGGAGATTTCAGAGTAGATATCTTTTAGTTGTGAAAGTAAGGCTCTTCACAACTAAAAGAAATAGCAACCATAGATGTCATAATGCAGAAGCTCCTGAATGTCGCTCTTCAAATTAAAAAACCAAAAGCATATTGAAAGTGAGTTAAGCACCTAATGCACTCCACTTTGAGCCACTCACAATAGCTAAAGGCTCTATATTTGTTCCAGTGGTTTGTAATTCTGTACCACTAACAAACTAGGGAAATTAAGGACGTAAAACTTGATTTATAGCATTTCATACTGTTATATCAGCGATCAAAATTAAGATACAAGTCTAGTAATTTTGTATTTACTCTGGACTTACACAAATCCAGCAAACAGGCGTAATTTATAGCATCACAGCGTCTTACCAAAACCAAAGGCACCATAAAAAAGTCTTAAGAAAGCATAGGCGAAAACTAGTAAAATAACCAAAAAGGCTTTTCTGTCAAGGAAGGATGTTTAAGTTAAATCCATAAAGCATTCCAATGGTTTGGGAAAAAGAATAATCAATCAAAACTAAACAGAAAAACAAAATCTTGTAATCAAACAAGATGATTGAACTTCATTATGCAAAATGCATCCGAAACAAATTGTTCTGGATGTTAAATTGATATCCCTTAACATCTACACTGTATGAAAAACATCACTTACCAAAAAATTCTTACCTTCACAATATTGTTAATATTAGCATCAGTAGCATGGCAAGCAGTTCTCAGCTTCCTTTCCATCCCTTGTATAGCGTTTGAACATTGCAACTCAGCCTCCATATATGCATTTCTCTTATAATCCTATACGTGCAGCAAAATATAAATGACAAATCAATAATATGGTCCATGAAAGATGGGTAACCAAATGCAAGCATACAGAAACACCGGGTACCATACCAAATATTAAAAAGTTCATATTAATGGGGATGGGGGCTAGACTAAAACGTGTGCAAGAATTACCTACAGTATTTGCATGGCTGACTCTACATTTCCACATGCAGTTGCCTTTGACATAAAGTCAAGACTAATATTTTTAACTAGGATTAATTTCATAAATGCCCCCTGAACTTTGTTCTTTGTTTCAACATGCAGGGAGCATGTTGAAACAAAGAACAAAGTTCAGGGGGCATTTATGAAATTAATCCTTTTAACCACCCAGCTCTAAGTAAGCAATCAAGTTTCTTCGAATGTAGGATACCTCAAATGCCTTTCTGAAGAATTTATGCAAAGTCCCCTCATATTTCTTTCTCACTGGACCAATTCCGACAGCAGCAGAATCAAAAGTAGCCAATGCTTTATGGACGGCTTCTTCATGAGCTTCCCTCAATGCAGCCTAAAACAACATGTGATTAGAAACCAATATAAATCATCAAAAAGTAAGATAATGCAACACTTACTTCTTCTGGAGGCTTAGAACAGTCAAAGGCAGACATGTACACCTCAGTTGCAGAATCATAAGCTCTCCGGCACTCGGTTTCTTCAACATTCTGCAAAACGTTTAAGTTACATTGAAAGATGAGACAAGAAATCAACATCAATCTTCTTATGCTACAGAAATGAGATTCTAAGAGTTATTTCAAAGTTGAGTTTTTAATTGAGCCCTTACAAAATGTGTATGTATTCTGTTGCTAATGATGGTTCTGTATGTTTTATTCAATGATTCATAAACATCATAGTGTCACAATAAGATATCTTTGATGATTCTGATTTTTATCTCTTTCAAGCCATGGTTATCTTAACCTAAGCATATTATATTGTCATACGCTAAATTCCAAAACTCACATGATATAATATGAATTAATAACCAGTATGTAGCCCTGCTTACATCCTAAGAATTAAACAATCTCAGAGTTCCTAGTCAGCATCTACAAATACTTTTGAAGTTCCATAATGGTAGTAAATTGGGTTACCTGCCATGAAGAAGATATTGCAGGGACTGCACCCTTATTGAGAGCATCAAGATAAGATTCCGTGATACCAACAAGAATTGGACCAGTCATTACAGTTGCCCCAACTTGCTTAGGCCTTGTTCTTTCAAACACAAACTTCGTCAATGCATCAAGACCGGATCTAAATTCAGGCCTTAGTTTGTCCAACTGCATATAGAAGTAACAACATCTCAGCTCACACACACATAACAGAGTAATTTCAGCGTCAAGAACCCTGAAAACTCACTGATATTTGATCAAGTCGCTGGAGATCATTTTCATTGTTCAAAGGCCGCACAAGGGTGAAACATTCTCTGTCTGGAAATAAAGCTTGGATGGCCTCACGAATCTATTGATCATTTAAAACATGCAATAAGAACCTCCACAACAAAAAGTTGAACTTAAAATGCTAGATGTCAACGTGCCTATAGTATCTCAACAAAAAAAAAAAAAAATGAGGAATGCATACAAGAGAGAGAAAGAGAAGCTGAAGAAAACGTGAGTGACTTGAAAAGGAAAATTCTTGGGATTAAAAAATTTAAGATTGCTTAACGATGGAATACTTATACTGTGGAAAACGCAATCTATTGATATTGTAAATAGGATTTATTAGGAAAGTTTGAAATTTATATTTTGTATCCTTAGGATTAAGGTAATCAGTTAGTTTCCTGATATCCCATGAATAATGGGATAAGGTGTAATCTAGGAGATTCTACTTGTGTATAAAACCCTAAGAGGGCCGGCTGTATAGAATTAATTCAGAGAATAAGAAATATTTTTTCTTCTCCTATTTTTCCACATATACAACTAAAAACATAGATGAGTACCTCATTTTTGGCTGCTACGTCTTTTCCTCTACCTGAAACCGGCTTCAAAGCAAGCTCTAGATAGTCACGGGGCGTTATCCTTTGATCACGTTCTTCTAGATTCAAATAAAAGTCCTGAAACCAAGCAAACATTCAACCAATTGAAGACTGTAGCTAAAAAGCACATTCTCCAAGCATAACAACAAATAACACAAACTAACTAGAGCAACGAAAATAGTGTTTGTTATTATATTGATGTACTTAATTGCACAATATAGAGCAAAAATGTACTTAATTTAGAGCAAAATACCCTTAGAAGCCAGACAAATATAGGGGAAAACTGCCCAAGTTCGGAAGCTGAACTTCTTCCTCCAGAGGCTTTAACACGGATATGCTTCGTCATTTGTGTGACAAGAGAGAGACGATCCAGTGCAGATTCATCAATGGCACCCATCTAATAGAAAGGTGAAGCACGAGTTAAATAAGTGAAAACTCTGATGCAAACTCAAATAATGAATCAAATTACAAAGTTTCATTTCCTCAAACCTATCCGAACAACTTATCACCTAAGCCAAGGACTAGGCCCAGGCCTAGGACCCTAAGAGCCCTAGTGTTAAACACAATAAAGTGAATCTATCAAGCATTTCAGGGAGCATTATTGCCCCGAAGAAGAAACATCTTACTATTGAAGACTAAGCTTGTGTTCAGGTAAAGGGTTTGAACAGAACCTTTTGGTTCAAATTCAATTTTATTTTTTAAACTTTTGTGAGATAAACACTGTAAAACAGTATGGATTAGAACCCTTTACCCAAACAGCCCATATGAGTTTCCCTTTTGCACAGAATGCGAGCACTCAAGCCCATTTTGAATTGAGAAAATTTATATATATATATATATATATATATATGAGACACCATTTTGAAAGTCCTTGGAATCCAAGTATCAAGGACGAACGCAACTCAGCATAAGTTTTACTAACCTGATTGTAAATGAACATGCTGGATAAGAGCACAGCTAAGGAAAATATTTGAGTGCTGTACGTTCCCTGCCAAAAAAATAAAAACAAAAAAAGAGTCAAATGCAATGATACTCCCCAAAAAGAGGGGGGGGGGGGGGGATTCAACATATAAAGGAGGCATCACCATACAGTTCAAAGGAACCACACTTATACATTTTTACGTATATGCATCAAACAGAATGAAACAGAACGTTGTATAATCAGCTTCAAAACCAATTAGGCAGTTACTTTTAAGTTTAACACACACAAACCAGACGAACAGCACTAACATGTTATTAGCAAAGAATTGGAGCTAACCGTTTGATCATAAGCATCGATGCCTTCGCTATCTAATAGTAAAAGATTGTACTCTGTCCCATCAAGAGCAGTTCTCTTCAAAGGTGCACTCCACAACCAAAGCCCCTTGGTACATGGCCGATGGGTCGACGCTACTTGAAATCCACTACTCCTCCCAAGAAGCTGCAAAACATAAATGCAAAGATACATTAAAATTAGAAGTCTTTCTACCAATATCAAACTCTTAAAAATGCAGAAATGAATTACCACGACATGAATTGATGTGTAATTTCACAACTTTCCCGCTCTATCACAATTCTACTAAAAATATAATAGGTAACTTCTCTATCCATCCCATTAAGTTATGGGCAACGTATTCCAACATGGTAGATACTAAAGAGCATCCAAAACAAGAACTATTAGCTATCTGATAAATATTTTAACGAGATTCCCAGTAGTAACAAAATTCAAAACAAAAGCGCAATTTAAATACACGACTGCTTTCCAAATTCTCATTTCCTTGCCACTCGATAATGCCAGAGTACGTTATTAACTAACTAACTAGGGAAAACGCATCAGTTAGTGCTCATAGCGCCACAGAATCCCACAAGCTACAAATTTTTTGACTTTCAGTGTCTCCTTATGCTGTGAGATCTCCATATACAACACATTTCCAATCAAACAAAAACTCTAAAAACTCACACGCCGGAACCATATCAGTTTCTCTAAAACCTAAAACAAAAACCGTAAATTCCACTTAGAAAGCCACTCTAAGCACCAAATTTATCGCAATGCCCAAAACCAGAAACCCTAAAATCAACAAACGGAAACAACACACAAAATTAAAACACTTTTCCCCAAATTCCGGTTCGACATTAGCCACAAAAACCCGAAGATTCACACCTGATTGAGAATGAAGCTCTTGCCCTGGCGAGCCCGGCCGCAGACGGAAACCACGCCGATCGGCCCCTTCACAAGCTGGAGCGTCGCGACCGCCTCCGGATCCATCCGAAACTTTCCCTTCTCGTCGCAGTAGACCAGCCGAATCGGCCTCGCCGGTCCGGTCGCCAGAGCCGCCGACGATGACGACGACGACGGAGAGACCGACAGGGGAGAGGAATCGGAGGAATTGTCCTTCCCTCTGAAGAATTTCATCATCATTTTTCACCTTTTTTCTTCGATTTTCCTTTCGCTTCTTCTTCGTTTTCTTGGTTTTGAATCTTCCGATTTGATTTTGATTAAAAAAAACTTCTTTCTTTGCTTCCAAATCTTTTTCTGTCTTGTGCTCTCCTTGTTTCCCCTTTTCAGCTCTCCGACAGAGAGAAGAGAAGGGAGAGAGAGGGTTTAAAATTGGGGAGGGAAAAAGGACCGGAGCTTTATAGTGTACAAAGAAGGGACTGTAGTGAAATTACCAATGTATTCGTTAAAAGGTGCAAGGGTAACGCTGTCAAGGGAAGGATTGAATGGTAATTTTAACTCTACTGACTTTCTATACCGGTGCTACGGCGTGGTTACAAAGCTAAAGAGTAATTATATTTGCACATACTCTTAAAATTAATATTCGGTTAATAAAAATTTAAAAAATATATATTCCATAATTCTTAATTTAACCTTTTCATACCTCATTCTCATTGGTTCAATTTTAATTTAATTTATAAAATACATAAAATGAATTGAAAAAATGTTCAAAGAAAATTAAACCAATTTAACACAAGCAAAAACTAAATTTACAAACAAGAACAATGAATCAAAGTGGGAGCGTAGGAATTGCATTACAGGACAGACTATCATTCATGCTATTTTCGGTGAACATTGCACAAATCTGGTAACAAACACTCACTTATGTAATGTATATAATTAAAACCTCCATTAAAATTTTGAAAGAGTTTTGATGGAGAAAAATTTTAAGTTCATGAAATCAAAATAGCTTTAATTTTTTGCTGAATAAAATAGCGTTAATTAAAGACGAGCATGCATTTCCATTTTTTTAAGAAAGAATAATATTCATAATATTTATATTTATAATTAATATGGGGTATCTTAGTGGGTTCTAATGTAATTTTAGTACAAAATAAAATTACAATAAATGTAAATTATTATTAAGTGGGGACATTAATGAATTTGATGGGTGCAAATACAATTCCTCTAAAGTTAAAACGGAGAATTTACTTTTTAAAGTTTATAAATCTAGACTTTTATTTCTTATTTTTAATAAATATTCTTTTTTTAGTATAATTATTTAATTAAAAAAATTATGAATTAAAAATAAAATTATGATTCATGTGTTTTTAAAGGTATTTGTGGCAAGTTAATTGTTGGTCAAACTACCGGTGATCTATAACCTTGAACCTTCGTTCTAGAGGCCCATCTTGGTGTACAAGGCAATGGCATGTGGGCCGAGGTGGGTTCTACATTATTGAAACCCAACTGGTGACCAAACGGCCACAGTAAAAGGCGACCTTTACGCAAATGTGACGACCATCTAATTTGAACTTTTTATTACAGATTTTTTTCTTTCAACTTTTCAAATTGATCAATTTTTCCACGGAGGAAAAACCTTGCACAAAATTACGTATTAACAAATTTAGAATAAAATAACCCTGAAAATATAATATCAAAAGATGCTAATGGTAGCTCACTGACAAGTGACGACGTACAATAGTATACCGTTAGACTTACGAAGAAATGAGATAAATATCCTTTTAAAGTATATTAGTATAGATTTTTACCCGTCACTCTTAATTACTATCATTTTAGTCAAATAACTATATTAATTAAAATAGTATTAATTAAGAGTAAATGATAAAAATAAAGACTCATACACTTTTAAAGATAAGTCTAGCAATTCTCTCGTCGAGAAGAACCAATAGTATATGTCCTACCATAACACAAAAGGTAGTTCACCATAATACTAAAAGTAGTCCGTTGTGTAACTGAAATTCTACTGAATGCCACACCAGCAATAGCCTACCGTGGTATTGGGACCATTGGTGGTGTTCCGCGTGATACTGATGATGTCGAACATTGTTGGCATCATCAGAGGTCTTGCCATGTTATTTAATTTTAAAAGGGTATTGGCAACTTTGTTGGCAGACCTTTGAACATAAATTTAAATTTTTATCGGAAAAAAATTACTGTTACAAAAAGGTTAGAATTGTGGTTCAATCTGGCGAGACAAACTGAGTACTGGGCCATGCCCTTATTGGACTTGACTGGACTAACCAAATATATTGGCATGGCAAGGAAAACGAACTTTTGGGCCTACTAACGTTTCACTTCAGCAAATAACTATGTGCTGAGTCACAGGCCAGTTATTTTTGCCTGAAATCTTGGGAGCCACTTGGGTGGGCACTTCTAACCTTATTCTCAGTTTCTCTTCCCTTTTTATTTTTGCTTGAAGTTATTTTCAGCTTCTCATTTGATAAAAATTTCTCAACATTCGTCGAATGATTTCTAGGACTTACTATATATTATTTCACCATGTTACTCAGTTTAATGTTGTAATAGTTCCACCAAACCATCATCTATTCCTTTTTCTTAATTCTTAGCCCGTTTTACTTTCAAAGCAAAAAAGGGCGGTTAATAACTTGATAGTGTTTTTTTTTTCCTTTTAATGTTATTTTGATTAAACTATATAGTATAGTACTTATGACAAGAACGTTATCTCTGATATCATTGTATTAAATTTTAGTTCGCTGATTTGAGTTTTTAATTCGAGTTGAGATGTGACTTTATGTAAGAGCTTTTTACTATAACAAAAAAGTTAAATATAATGTTTCTAAGAGCTTTTTACTTTAACAAAATTCAAATTCTAAACTCAAATTAGTGAAATGAACGAGGTCTTCATTTCTATAAACATTCCGGATCGAGGCTAGCCTACGTTAATGCATGATTTTGCGAGTCCCTTGAAACTCAGGCAGCCTTAAAAACAGTTTTCCCTTAAAAAGCTGCTAAGCAAGAGGAAAGCAAGAACGAAAAACGTGTGAAAAAGGAAAAACAAAAGTGTGAACCCTACTTAACGTAGTTTTATCATTGATCGCAGTATATGCGGAACATTGTATTCAGAACATATCATACATGTTCACATATATATATATAATGTATATAATTGTACCCCACTTAACTGTATATCCACTTATAGTTTGTATTTCAAAAATTTTCCCGTGACTAATCTTATTTAATTGATCAATGTATTATGTACAAGTTGTGCGTCACGCAGCCTAATTATTTGGTGGAAAGGAGTCATGATCATACAAGTCATAAGATCTGGATAAACCACACATCCTTTTCCCAACAACTGTTCTGCAGCCCGATTAGGTAATGGCTTACGCGCACTTGTTTTTAACATATTTGCTTCCATTTAGACCAAACACTTTCATTAATGGACTAGTTCTTATTACGACACTTGCAAACAATATATGTAGGAGAGAATGAGTGTTTTTTTTTTTTTTTTTTTGCTAGAAGCCAATACATGTACATATGTGTGTCATCCGTATATATTTTTTTAATAAGCAGAAATGTTTGTTAAAGAAATAGAAAAAAAAAAATGTTACAAACTAAAACATAAAATATCCAATTAAAAAAATAAAAGAAAACCTAAATAAAAAACATACAAAAATAAATTAAATTAAGCAGCGTAGTAAGAGAAATTCATCAGATTTTCTCATTTTAAACACTTGTCAGTACTCGAACTCTGGTCTTAAGAAATTTTTTTTCTCTGAGATTCTTTGTTCAATTTTTTTTCCTTGAAATACATAACTCTACCAATTATCTCAAGAACCCAAAACAATAGTTTTCATCTCTTTATGGGTCAAAATACTATTTTTTATCTCTGTAGTATTAATGTCGACTTCAAGACTTCGATCTTTTGAAGAGCCGTCCTCAACGATATCTGCCTAAATGCGAATACGCGTCATATTTTTTTTCAAAAAAAAAATATAAATAAATAAACAAATAAATGGAGAGAGAGCTGGCCAATATGTGTTATATGCAACAATATAATGCTCTGCTATGACTGCTATTTTGATCATTAACTTACTTTCATTAATTATGTACTATATATTCAAATGCGTAGAAATATTTAAATAGGTGGGCTATAATTCTCTCTAAATTTAAGGTTATGCTTTATTTTGTGGGAGAGAGAGAAAGGCCTAGTGAAATCAAGGGCTAAAGTAAAGTATACGTGGGATATTATAAATTATATATTATATGTTTACGTCATTTATATTATATATCACACCAGAATCTTGAAATTGGCAGGGAGTGCATGGCATCAATCAAAGGGACATCAAAGAATCAAAAAACTGATAATTGACAATTAGCATATGCATAAAATGTACATAATGGAGTTGTGGTCCAACAAATAATTAGTATCTTTCTACGCTTATGCACTAAAAGGTCGTAAATACGGCATGTATAATCTAACACGTTGCATAAGTACTGGTTTTTTTTTTTTTTTTGTTGGCTCTTCCCCCCTCAGATCCGGACACAGATATCGGCGTCGGCGGAGTCCCCTATCGCAGCGACTCCCGCGATCTCCGATTCCAGCCAAAACCCCCTCCCCTGGCGGCACGAACCCCAGATCCTTGTAGATCGGCCGGCGATGGCCCTCCGGACTACGGACGATGAACGGCGGCCTCGACTCTCTCTCTCTCTCTCTCTCTCTCTCTCTCGCTGATTTCACTGCATAAGTACTGGTTGACTGTAGTAGCAAGCAGACAATTGGGGAAAAATCCTAAAGTATAAATTTATTATTGACTCGTCTCCTAATGATTTAAGTTTTTAGAACATATTGATCAACTATTATAGTATCAGAGAGAGATTTTAAGTTTAAATTTTCGTAATTATATTTTTTATTTTTATTTAAATTGTTATAATGTGTTAAATTTTTAATATATCTCGAGTTTAAATATTCACGTATTAGATTTTTTAATTAATTTATTTATATAATTATCCATTATCCAACTCACATGTGAAAAAAAATGTTAAAATATAAAATTATTATTAATCTATCTCTGTAACAGTTTAAGATTTTGAGATTGATCGGTAAACTAACACTTTTTCGATCATGATGTTCATGATGATGAACGTCACTCCGCTTGGAGTTGGTTATGATCTCTTGGTCAATTTTAAAATGCCTCTCGTGTAGGGTCACAGAAATGAAACTATTATACGAACAAAATACTTTTATTTTCTTTAAACTAAGAATACGTGTAACTAACCATGAACAGAAAAGATCAGAAAATGGACTGTTTGTTCTACAAACAAAATCAGAAATGACAAGAGAGGCTAATAATGACCACAAGATTAGATGATATGATCAGGCATAGAAAATTAATGGGACTTGGATTTGAGAGGGCACTAATCCGATCTCGTATTGCATAACAAGGGTTATTCACAGTTCTGACTCCTGAGCATTTATGCACTTGTCTCACTAATTTTTGATGTTCAGTTTTATACTTCTAGCTACTTTGAGGTTTTTAAAATAAACAATTTTAATCCTTTTGTCACAATTTGTTTATTTTCAGACAAAATATAACACAAAGATGACTCGTAAAGGTTTTAAAATTTATAAAATGGTTTAAAAAATAAGTTGAATTTGAAAAAACTTATTTTTGTAGGAAAAATAAAAACAAATCTAGGCTGGTTGGCACAATTTATTTTTTTTTTTTTTTGGATTTTTATTTTTTTCAAATTTACTTGTCCTTCTACCACTTCGTCTCTCTTACAACTCTTCTAATCATTTTCGTGCTACATTTTGTCCAAAAATATACAATTTGCTAACAAAGAGATCAAAACTATGCATGTATTTCAAAAATCTCAAGGTAACTAGACATCTAAAAGTGAATATCAAGAATTAAAGTGAGACAAGTGCATGTTCTCAAGATCAGTCATGTAAATAACAAAAGAAAAAAAATCAAAATATATTTGTGATTTTAAATATTAATCATGATATATATATATGGATAGGTGAATTATAAAGTAACCTTAGAAACCACACCCATATATATATATATATATATTAATGAACGGAATTGAGTTATCTTTTATTCCATTTCTTGATAAGTAAGAAAACACTAAAAGGGAGTTAAATGATCCTTACTTCTATCCCTCTATATTATTTCTTCTAAAGAATAAATAAAATGAAAAAAAAAAAAGAATGACCGAGAGAGATAAGTTCAGGTTTTGGAATGAGCTGTTGGGAAAAAGACTTGTTGGAAGATTAATGCGGTATGAAATATTCAAGACCTTTTGAGAGTCATCAGAGATCATAGTTAGGTCCATATAATATATTAAATGAGAGGCAAAAAACGGGTGAGGAGCAGCCGAGCCGAGTACCACAAGATCTAAGGATTTGTTCCTATATATATATATATATATATGTAGTATTGGTTTGGTTTGACATTTGTGACTTCCACAATTTCATTTTAGGCATCTTCCCATTTTGATCGTTGTCTACAAACTAGGAAATTGACTAGAAGATCTTTATAGGATTTAATTGCTATACGGAAAAATTATTTAATCAATAAGAAAACTAGCTAGTCAACAATGTTCAAACCGATAATGGGTACTTGAGCTGTGATTTATGGACATATATACATATAAATTATGTAAACCAATCGACCCAACAACATTTTAATACTAATTTTTAGCAGGCTACACACTAAAATATTTCATAGAATATTGTAGATGATGGTTTGGTGTCACTCAAAATATCTTGGACTAAAAACAGGGATGGGAATGGAGTATGATTTGTCAACTTTACCAACCTCATCCTTATCCTCTTCCTAAAAAAAATTAGTTAATCAGATTTATTCTCGTCATATGAGAGTATTCTAATCTCTTTCATATGTAAACAATTTTGTCCTATATAGATTGAACTTTACCTTCTCTTATATGGTTCGTTTAGTAAAGGGATTCATATCATGGTTCGAATCATAGTTCGTGGTTCGCTACAGTATTTTCTCTCTCACAAAAAATACATGTAAAATGAGAATAGTTCTGAATCCATGAACCAAACGTCTCATAATATTTTTGTAATCGATTTATTCGTGAATTTGTGTACTTCTTCTATTTCATTAGAAATTAGAGATTGATGCCGTGTCCGACCCTGTTTTAAGAAATGAAAATAATTATCCTAATTTTTTTATCATTATGTGTAAATAGATCATCTACTCGGCTATAGGAAGCCAACAGCTGAGGATGTGGTGTCTTTAATCTCCTCGTACAACTTCTTACCTGAATATTGTTAAATTTTATCAAACGCGATCCATCTGATTATCATAGATAGTGGAATGTAGAAGTGCTAAGGAGAGGGCCGTATATTCTTATCGTCTCACTAGTGATCTTGCCGGCCATTTGGTTTAATAGAAAATGACACTTACATGGTTTGACTTGCTAGCACTTTTGGTGATCCAAAAGACACAGAATATCTGATACTTAATTATAATTATTCAATGCAAGATTAGTATGATTAGGTTATCATTATTTTAACCATAAAATATTAATCTAACAGTTGTAATAAATTACGTAGTTTAAAAAAAATTTTGACAATTAATGAAATTTAATTTTTATCACACTTAGTCATTAAATTATTATATTTAATAAAAAAATTCATCGATATATATGATTTATATGTGCTTCACGGATTCCCTAAAAAGACCCAAAGGAAACAACAATTTTTTCATTGTAAGGATCATATCTAATTACTACATACACCAACAAGATGACGCATGCCAATACAAAATTTATTAGAGCAACTCCAACCATGCCAGCTATTTCATATTTTTAGTTAAATAGCTAATGATTTAGTTAGAATTTAGCTTTTCTCTACTCCAACCATTAGCTAAATGGTTAGATATTTCAGAGGATTCCTTTCACACTAGCTAAATATAGCTAGCAAGAATTGGCTAGCTATTTGATTTATTGTATTATTTTATTGTTTCATACCCAATAAATGTAAAAGTTCTTTTTTAAATTAAATAAAGTTATTTATATTTAAATTCAATAACTATTAAAATAATATATGTTTAGTTAAAATAAAAAAATATAATTGGAATGACTCACTAAAAAATTAGTAACTAAAATAACTTTCTAGTCATTTTACCTAAAATTTAGTTAAAAAATAGAAAGTTTCCTTAAAAGATGCTCTTAGATTCTACTTTTTCTCATACACATATTGCTTAAACGAGTTAAATTTATTTGGATATCTCTCAATCATTGCGGTAAATGGGTAATCTATACGTCATATGTATATCATCACAAACCAAAATGATTAATAAATTAGCCCCTATCAACTATGTGGAGGATATGAAATTCAAGTCCGCTAAGGAATTGTAGCTCAATAGTGTCACGGAAAGCTTCTAAAATGGCTTTTGGTGAAGAGGAAAAATGGGAATAGATTAGTTATAAGTGACTCATCGATTAATAATAATTTATATATATATATATATATATATTATTGGAGTGCGGGCGTAGGATGAAATTATTATGATTTGCATGGTAGCCAACCTGTGATCTCATCCTTTTCGGAGTCTTCAGAGATAATCCAATGGATGACAAGGACCTCAGATATTTGGCCACGTTCATTTCTCGAATTAAAAATTCGAATCAACAAACTAAACGGGCCCTTGACTATGTGTCTGTGTCTATATATATATATATATATATAATGATTAATGAAAAATAAAAATGATCAATTATAAGGTCTTTTGGCTTTCCTGAAATGCATACAAATACTTATAATTTTTTTATTTAACGCTTTGCTGGCCATGTTAGAGCAACAAAATCACAAAATGTTATTTTATTTCGGAAGGATCAGTTCGTTACATATGTTACTAACCAAAACACAAAATTAATATGATTCTGAAAATACACTATACGGGTATATTTATATTTATGTACGTACAGACACACACACACATATATATATATATATATTTATATATATATATATGTGTATACATATATTATTTGTATACATACACCATGTACTCTAGCTACAAAAGGTGACCTTTTGCCGATTTTAATTTTTGCATACTGTGTTATTTATAGATTCCGGTCAATCCATGCATATATATATATATATGCGACCATTGGCAATCGGTTATATTAGACTTTCCGTACGCCTTATATGATATTGTTTTAATTAGTCATTGTCTTGCATTAACTTGTTTTTGCTTTAGCTAGCTAATGAATCAGGATTTTTATTATTTCTTGTACTGTCGGTCAAATAATATCTAGAAAATTTTGCGAGTTACTTGGTTCTACAAACACGTTTTTGCGAGTTACTTTGAAAACCGCGTTGCACACATACTATAATATACATATGTAATTTTTTGTATCCATATTGAAATTTAGAATTCAAATCTCCCACTTTTTTTTTTTTTTTTTCATAAATAAAAAAAGTTTAAAAAAAGAGGATTTTTTTTATATAAAAATTCAATTCTAGTTTGGAACAAGACAAAATTGATTTTTTCTTAAATAATTTTTTTTTAAAAAGAGGATTTTTTTATATAAAAATGCAATTCTAGTTTGCAACAAGACAAAATTGATCTCAAGAATAGTGTAGGAAAAAAGCAATTAAGAGTAATGGTACGGATTATCCAGATTTATGATAGTGGAACCCATAACTCAGCTTATGAAAGCTAATAGTAATAGACATGCCTCAGGCCCCAGCCAGTTCGAGCACATTAATGAATTTACAAAGTCCATACAAATAATTTGATTTATATTATTTGTACAATATCTACTTTTAATTAATACACAAGGCTGCCGGCAATTAGTTGATCGAATTTTTGCTCCTATATATTAAAATTTTAATCTAATTTCAAGATTCTCTTAATAACTTGTCTAATTTTAAATATTATCTCAAATGATGTTTAATCAATTATATTATGTGTTATTTAATAAATTTAAACATACTTGCAAAAAAGTTATTTTAAAATTTTTGACAATACTGTATAATGTAATTGATTAGATATCATTTAGAATATTAAATTTGTAATTTGTAATTTGGGCGTCTTAATAGTATTGATTAGTACTTAATTACCCTAAGAAATTAATATACAGGGAAAAAAAATAAGAAGAAGAAAATCGTGTACGTTTATGATTCAAAAGGTTAGCAACGAAGGACAATTTGGATTTTGTTGCATTCCTCTACTTCAAAAAAATTCTTGAAAAGGAACAACAGCTTCAGAATTTAAAAAAATAATAATAATAACAAAAACAAAGAAGTGCTAGAGATAAAATAATAATAATAATCAAAGCCACAAAGCGCCAGCTTCCTTGAGTATGGGCACCAATTCACCTGAGATATGGGTGGCCATCACCCTTTCCAAGCCGCCGAACACTTTCCCCCCGACGAACACCACCGGAAACTGAACTTTATTACTACTTTCGTTGCCATTGATATCAATCCCTCCGCCTTTTTTAACGTGATTACTAGTATTAACCTTCGACAATTCCTCGGCGACGGCGGCCTCGCCGTCCTCGTCGACCTGGAATACCGGCGGGTTCACGCCGTGCCCTAGCAGCAGCCTCTTCAGGACGTGGCACATGCAGCATCCGCGCCTCCCGAACACCACCACCGCATTCTCCAACACCATCGCCCGCACGGCTCCGGCGCCGGCGATCGGTTCCTCGCCGGATACATTCGCCGGCGGCCTCGGCTCGCCGGCGGTCCAGCCAGGGACCCATGTCCGGTATGGAATTGCATGTTGCATGGTAATATATGTATTGAAACTGAAACAATTCTGTTAGAGAGAGAGAGAGAGAGGAAGTTGGGGTTTGAGAGAATGGAGGGAGGGAAAGGTAAATATATAATTGAGTGGGTGGAGGAGGCGAAGACTCTAACGTCAACGGCAGTTACGCACTCTTGTACGTCACAGGTACTATGGGGGTGACGAGTTCTACGTCACCCGCGCTGGTAAGGCAGATTCCAAGTAGCTCCTTCTCACCCATATTGCGCTTTGTTTTGTCGTTTTTATAATCCATGGAAATTTGAATGTAAAATGTTGCCTGCAGCCGCGGGGAGTCAGCTTTTCACCTCAATAGGAAGCCACATTAAATTTTTTAATAAATTATTTTAATAGAAATATATAAAAAATACATTTAGTTTAATAGAAATATATTATTTCAGTAGAGATTTAAGTATAAAATTTTAAAATTTTTAAAGATAAATTTTAAAAAAAAGAATTTAAGTAAAAACGGTTGACATTGTTCATCTTTAAGTGACTCCGTCACTAATTACTTGTGTGTGTGGTATTACTATTTTTTATATTGTCAAATTCCAACAAATTATTTCCAATGAAACAGCATGGCTCATAGATCTTTTTAAAGATAATTTTTTTAAGTGCCAAACTTTCAAAGCATGAATTTTTTTTTTTGATGCCCACGATCTTGATTGTCAAGTCACTGGTGGTGTAACAACTGGAAGCACATAATTTATCCATGGAGAAACTAAATATTTAAAAACAATTAAAGAAAGATTTTGAAAGAGTATAACTATATGTGATAAGACTGTCCTTTCTAATTTTGAATATTTGAACACTATTATCCTATTTAAGGTTACAATTTAAGTAGTAATGACGATACGATTCAAAATTCATATAAAATTAGTGAGTTTAAGTTTATTATAAATAAGTTTATATTAAAATCAAGTCGAACTCATAAAACATGATTAAATAGTATATCATTTTTAAATTAATCTGTTAACTCGTAATTGACGGACCGTTTATTAAACGAGAGAGAGGAGAAGGATATAATATATATGCATGTGAATGTGTGTGTGTATATATATATATATTAGTGGAGCCCATAAATGAGGGGTAGGAGAAGGATCTCATTCTCATCCAAAATGGGCGGTGGTGGAGTAATGGCAAAGGCCGCTCCGGGACGGCGGGCCGCGTACACGTAGCCCCTGATCATTTGCGATGAGTGACGTGGCCTCACCTCAATTTTGGTTCTTTAATTATCTTGCTTACCTCACCATTCCACCCACGTGTTCCCCACCGGGCGGTGATTCCTTTCCTTTCCCCTATTCCATTTGCACTTGTCGTTTTCAGCCCACGTTTTCCCTCGCTGACGACCCATGACGTAGACTCCCTACTTGGCCGTTTCCATGATAAAAACTCTCACGTTTTAATTTCCTCAAAAAAGCGGTCAGAAAGACGTAAAACTTAGGCTAACCGTTTACTTTTCGAGTATTAACGTTAACATTAACATTAAAAAAAAAAAAAAGCCAAAATGGATTTTAGTGTGGACGAAATTAATAATATGGGTGAACTTCCCCCAATAACAAGAAAGTTTTGCTTTATTTTTTGAAATATGAATAAAAGTGGTCGGTCTGTCCAGCATGAAATTAACCATCATGTATATATGGACAGAGAAAAAAACATTAATTATAGCACCCCAAAAGAGAAGCTTCGTGTTAAACATATACAATATAGGTCCTATTTGAATGAACTTTTACTCGTGCATTTGAGCATATTTTTTAAATGAATTCGATAGGTTAAAATAATTTTTAAATCTATTAATAAGCAGTTAAAATTTTTATAACTAAAGTTTATAATTTCTATTGAAACTTGATTTCAAATAATATTTTTGAGAAGCGATACTTTGTGATTTTTACCTCAAAGTTTTCTGAAAAGTCTGAAAGTTTTTCTAAGATATCATACAAATACGTCTAAAAAAAAAAAAAAAAAAAACTTTTTTTTTTTTATCGATATCCCAAAGAAACCAAAACCAACTCCTAGAAAATTCTACCTAACAGCCCATAATAATGTTTCGCAAGCTAAAATGTGTTCTTCCATATTATGAAGTTCATGAAGACATAATACAAAAGGGGGACCCATGCCGTGAATAAGAGAGAGGAACAAACCCACGGGCAAGTTCAAATGCCTATTCCAAACTATAAAAAGTAGCCGCTAATCTACTCATTACGTGTTTACCCAATTTTTTTAGTTTTGTGGGTCCACCCTTTTAAGTAGAAGCAGCCATTTTAATTCTAATTCATGCTGATTTTCTCCAAGCGTAACATATATATATATATATGTTATTTATAGTTTTAATTATTATACACACACAAAGAAAAATACAAACCCATTACACACATTCTAATTATAATTAGTTCTCGTTACTCGTCCTAGCTAATCAAGCATAAAATATTCTCTCTCAAATACCAATGAAGTACGTAAAAAGCTAATTCATCTAGAAAAGAAATTTGTTCATAGAAATCTTGAAGATTAAAAGAAGAAAAAAAAAAAAAAGTCCTTTATAGAAAAGGGAATACACACACACACATGCCACGCAATATAACGGCAATGGTCAATTTCAATTATGTATGGAAGGAGAAACCCGCAAGGTTTCTACTCGAGAATATAAAGAAAGACGGAACGGAGATGTCAACTAAAAATAATATATACTGATCATCAAGGAATATATGTTATATAATATACAGGAAAATCAGAAAATGTATGTGTAACTAGGTACATTTACGCACCTTATCCGTAAAATTGGCTTTATTAAAGAAAGTCAATCGTTGTTGTATTATTATTGAGTGGTTAAAAAGCATATATATATATATATATATATATATATATATATATAATGATAGATATATACACTATATTTTT